ATTTCTTTTTATATGCTATATATTTTCAACGCTTATATATAAACAGATTTGTTGTACAATTATATTTTAATAAATAAATGCTACTTAAAATACATTCCTTAAACCTTTATTTTGTAGATTGCTTGACATTTATGATCAATAAGATTCATATTCAATTTTTATTTGCTATTATAGGGTAAAAACTAGAAGAAATATAAAAATAACGATAATTATAAAGATTTTTTGTTTTATAAAATAATCATTTTACAACTAATTTTATTGAAATTAATATTTTTAATAATATTTCAAAAAAAAACTTGGAAAAGTTATTGGCACTAAATTAATCTTTTTATTATAAGTTGTTTTTTATAATTTTATTTTTTTATCATTACTAAAATGAATTGCCACTTACAAATATTTTAATTATCACATCCATATCTGTTATTCCACATATACTGTAAATCAGGGTTGTCCAAATAATTGATTTTATAAAATTTAAAGTTGGAAACGCGCTTTCATATAGATTGCTGAATTTTTCGTTCTTAATACGTTTTTTGAATAATTAATAGTACAATTTAGTTCTACCAAAATATTTTTTCCGATTATGCCATCAAACTTGTTCTATAATAGTTTTTTGCATTAAATTCGTCAAATATGGGAAATCTACATAACTTATGATTAACAATTTTTTTCCCTAAAGCTTTAATATTAACTTGGACATTTTCCTTCCATTTTGGACTACAAATGTTTTTATTAATTAAGCTAAACTCTGCGCCTATATCGATTGAAAAATAAAGGTTTCTAACTTTTTTTCTGATCTTCATATAGGGTAGGTTCTGGACCTATTGCTGGGAAAATTTATATTAGAATTGCCAATTTCCATTGGGATTGGGTCGAAGTTACGCAACTAATTTGATCTTCTAGTTTACCTTGTATCATTTGTATTTCGCTTAGTTTCTTCATTATTATTATTAGCATAATTATTATTATTATAATTTCTAGAAGGGTTATATAATGTCTTACTATTGTTATTGTTATTGAATCTATATGTGTAGTTTCTATTAAAATAATTTGGATTATAACCTCTGTCTTGATTAAAATTATCGCTGAAATTCGCGTTGCTAGAATTAGGTAAACTTCCTTTGTGATAATTTGAAAACGGTGGCCCACGATATGTATGAGATTGATGCCTCGCTTGTAGAATAATATTATACGCCTCTTCTATTGTTGAAGGGTTTCTACTGAAAATCATGGTCTTTGTCGGTTCTGGCAGACGTTCTTTAAAAATATTTAAGCAAGCTCTATTTATCTCTCCGTTTCTATACATAAGCTCGTTATGCGTTAATTTTCTGTTACAAATTTTGTTTCTGACTTCATTTAATTTAAAATAGTAATTTTCAATGGTCGATTCTAGCTTGATCGTTTTTAGTTCGTCCATTAGTTCCGTAATCGACTGCATTTCACCAAAATTTGTATGCGTGTCGAATCTATAAATGATATTTCGCGCGTCATACACACATTTATTTTTTATATAATTAAATAAAGTTTTTCTACTGTTTTCGCTTAAGATCTCCACTGATCGCAAAATATTCTCAACTTAAGTAAAAAAATCGGGTAGCTGGTTTCTATCACTTCCATCGAATCTTTCAATATTTTTTATACTCTTTATTTATTTTATATGTTGATATTATTTTCATCTATATTGCTGCCAATGTTGCTGTTGTTATTATTACGGATAAATTGTTTTTTCATTTTAAGGTTATTACAATGTTTTTGCAAATAAAAACGTTGTTTTTGAAAAATAATATTTTATTTTATATATTTTTTTTTTGTTGTTTGCACTTTCACGCAGTTTTTAAATTTTATATGCAATTATTTTCTAACTGTCTTTTTATTATTTATACAAATTTTATTATTTTTCACAATTGCTCGGGCGCCAGTTAAGTCAGATACAAATGAAACGCACTCTCCTGCAGTACATTTATAACTCTATATTCATTGCTCAATAATCTTAAATTCTAAAATTATAATAATTGTCTTAAAAACTAAGAAGAGAATTTTACAATATAATTAAAATTACGCGTAGTTCACACTCATATTATTAGAACATAAGACTGGAGTTGTTCATATTATGATATAAGATATTATATATCTATATTATAATATATCACAACATACGATTTAAATTTTCTTTGTCTACTCGTAATAATGTGACCAACAAATATTTTTTTTCTGTCTTCTATGCTGTCAGATGTTGATATTAAAAACCAGACTACTTTTAAAAATGCTGATATATTAAAACTGTTTTTATTTGTACTTATATTTACACAAAAAAATCACATTTTTTTTCTAAATCAACTGATATAAATTAGTACTCGTGTATAAATATTATAAATTACTTTAAAATTACAAGAGTTGCTCACGATAAAAGGTATTTTATTGTAGCCGCTTTGCTCGATTACTCGATTCCTTATTTCATTACACTAAGATTGCAACAAAAAGCTTATTAGCAATTTTAGTTTTAATTTAAAATTTATTGTTTTATACTTCAAATTTTACAATATAAGACATATTTTAAAAATGAAATTAGTTATTTCAAAATATTGAATATTACAGATATTTGAACTGAACAACACCAAAATTTATGCCACAAATTATAATAAAATAAAAATAATAAATAAATTTATTTATCTAAAATATCATTTTATTTATTCACTTATATTATTATTATGTAAAATACTTGATATCAATTTCAATTTTGTTGTAATGTTGTTAAGACTTTATTAATAAACAAAGTGTGAAATATTTACTACACTATTTTGAATGATAAAACCTCTATTCTCAGTCTATAGTTAAGAATATACATGTACAAATATTAAAACGATTATTTTTATTTTTATATTATATATTATTATATTTTTAGTGTATGTAATAAATTATTTATATTATACTAAATAAATATTAATATACATAAAAGACTAATATCTATTAACATCTGTTAATATTGCGAAATACATTTTATATGATATTATTTATATATATTTTATATACAATATTTTATTAGATAATTATATTGTAACTTATACAAATAATTGTAATTTTATAAAAAATAAAACTATTGTAATTAACTTCAATATACTGAATTGGGACTAAAAACTAAAAAGTGTGTAATTCAAAAATAATTTTTTTTTAAATGATGGAAAAGTATTATACGAATTTATATAAATAAAAATATACAAATAAAATAAAGTAATAAATAAATAAATAAAAAGTAAATAAATTTCAAGCTAAAATGTTTTATTTAATTGGAATAAAGCCGGTACATAAGGTAACTATAAACATTAACTTTATTATGTTTTATTCAATACGTTGAATCTGATTTTTTGTTATTCTAATTTATTAGTATTTTTCATTTTAGACAGCCATAAAATTTAATAATTATTTAAAAATTAGTTATGCAAAATTTTTGCTGCAAAAAATATATAGGATTGTTTTTTATCATCCGATCAGATTGCCTTTTCTTTTAGACGTCCTTAAAAATCAGCGTAAATGACTTTAATCTAAAATGAAATTTAAAGTGAATATATATCCCAAAGAAGTCACTGGAGCCATATTTTTTACTGTATTAACATATCGTTTAATACAGACTTAGAAAGGTGTAACCAATGAGTATTTAATACATAGAGTGTGCATCAGGAACAAATTTGCTGAACACACTGCGGGTCTATTGGTAGACCCATTTTAGGCTCAATTTGATTTCAAATGATTTCAAATGCGGTATTTGTGATAATTTTGAATAGATCATCGTAGAAATAGACAAGAAGTTTTTGTTTTTGCATATTTGGAGAATGCAGAAATGTCACTTAGTAACAAACTGAAATTTTAGCAGCAAATAATAGCCTATTAAATGGAATAAAGACAAGTAAAAAAATAAAAGCATGAATAGTAGTATTATGAAAAAATCAAAAAAGTAGATTTTATTATATTGACTTTGTTTTTGTTTAAATAATATAATATAATACAACAGAATTAAAGTACAAAAAAACAAAAACACAAAAAACTGGATTAAAGGTTAAATAAAATTATAAATAGAAATTATTCCTTTTAAAATAAATATAAAATTTAAAACTAAAATTGTCAATATAAAATATAATAGAAAATTATATACCTAACTTAGAGAGTAAAGTAAACAATATTTAAGATTATAACAAAATTTGGTATATATAGATAGATATATAAAATTGTATATATTTATACTTCGCGATACTTGACTTCTTCTTCTCAACATACCATAAACAATGCTTCCGAAGGAGTTCAGTAATAAGAAAGTTGTAGAAAGCTGAAGTCGATGATTTAAACAAGGTTCTGTAAACCAATCGGAAGTTTTCATTTTAGCTTGTTTGGTTATAAGTGCTTTTATTTGGACAGCATGCAGGACTTCACAAAATCTGTTTGAGGGTGCCTTCAAACTTCCAAAATTTGAATGTGATTCATTATTTTTATAGTGAATAAATAGCTCACTTGGAGCTGTAAGAATTTCATTCTCTTTTAAAATTTTTGAATTGCCCAACTCACAATTAATGTTTGGCAACATTTTATGGGCAACGTACCTAACAAAATATCTAGTTGACAAGCATTCCACATTAATTATTTTGTCCAAAGCCAAGTCTTCAAATATAACTTTAGAATTATCAAATACGGGTTCTTGTATCGAATTAATTGGTATAACAGTACACAATGTTCAACTTAAGAAGGTTGATAACGATTACGCCTCACACGGACGCGAATGCTACGACGTGGTAACTCTTCCGTCGTCTGAGGACACCCTTGCATGTTCGAGCGATGCATGATAGCGTCATCCTCCTGCCCCACTACAGGTGATTGCATAATATACCACTCAGACGTGTCGCTCTTAGCAGAACTAGTCGACGAATGACACTTCATTTGATTTTGATGCCGTCTCACATAACCGTTGGATGTTTTCACATGTTTCCCAAATTTTTCTCAACCACAGCTTCAACCTATTTCGGATCTCGACCATAATGTCTGACATATACCTTTTTATTTGGCAAAAATTTAGTTGAACACTTTACGGTTTTATACTTGTTAACTGATGCTGATAATAATGTAAGCAAAGTTCGTGGAGTTCGGCCGTGTAGCAACTCTGCCGGTGACTTCCCTTCAGCATTAGGAATCGCACGGTACGTAGCTAGATATTTTACTAAGGCCAAATTCAATGACAACCCATCATCAACATTTTTTTTAACAGATGTTTTGAATGTGCGGACAAACCTTTCAGCAAGACCATTTGATGCACGATAAAATGGTGCTGTTTTAACATGATCAATACCATTCCGAACACAAAATTCAGTAAACTGATCAGATGTTAATTGAGGCCCATTGTCACTAACTATAGTTTCAGGTAATCCTTCAAGCGAAAAAATTGTTGATAACGCTGCAATAGCATCCATAGAGGTGGTAGTCTTAAGTTGTACCACAAATGGAAACTGTGAAAAAGCATCAACAACTATTAGCCACATAGAATTGAACACTGGCCCAGCAAAATCTATATGAACTCGCTGCCATGGTCGTTCCGGTTTTGGCCACTCGTGATATTGTTGATTCGGATTTGTACCCGCTATTTGACATATATTACATTGTGGAGCAGGTTTCTCGATATCATCGTCTATCTGATGCCACCAGCAATGCTGTCTAGCAAGCTGCTTCATCTTAACGACGCCCCAATGGCCTTCATGAAGAAGTTTTAAGAGTGACTGGTGCAAAAAGTTATTAACTACGACTCGAGTAACGTCCGACTGCAAATAAACTAAGTTATTTTGAATAATGAACGCATACTGACGACGAAAAAAAGGAAGTAAGTCCATTTCACAACTGCTCAATTTCGACGGCCATCCTTCCAAAATGAAGGTTTTAAATCGGTTAAGTACGCGATCGTCTTTGTAATGCTGCTGTAGTAATTTGACATTGATAGGTGTATCGTAATTTTCTATTTGATGACAATATTCAAACTTGTCGAACTCAGGATCTGGTCCACAAGGCAAACGTGATAAGGCATCAGCATTTGAGTGATCTGCAGTTCTACGATACTAAATCTCAAATTGATAAGACATCAATATTATAGCCCAACGTTGTAAACGATGTGTAGACATTGATGGCAAGTTTTTATCTGGGCTGAAAATGCTTACTAAAGGCTTATGATCCATGACCAAAATAAATTTATGCCCAAATAAATACTGATGAAATCGTGTAACTCCAAAAATAATCGAAAGTGCTTCTTTTTCGATTTGACTATAACGAACTTGATGAGTGTTAAGTGTTTTTGAAGCAAATGCAATAGGTCGTTCCGAGCCATCCGGATGTCGATGAGCAATGACAGCTCCAATACCATAAGATGATGCATCAGTAGCAAGAACGATAAGCAAATGTTCTTGAAAATGTGACAACTCAGTTGCTTCTATTATGTGTCGCTTTAAAACTGCAAAAGCTTGCTCTTGATCGATGCTCCAAACAAATTTGATATCTTTTCTACGTAAGTGATTGATAGGCGCAGCCAATTGTGAAAAATTTGGAATGAAGTTATGATAGTAGTTTACTTTACCAAGAAACGCTTCGACTTCTTTTACGTTTTTCGGCCGCGGTAACTGCTTTACAGCCTGAACACCCTTCTCATCAGGTAAAATACCACTTGCACTGATGGTTCTGCCTAAATATTCCAATTTTTCCACCAAAAACTCACATTTCGTTCGCCTGCAACGAATGCCATTTTCAGCTAAAAGTGATAATATTTCCTCCAGCCGTTTAAGATGTATGTCAACCGTTTCAGCAGCGATTATGATATCATCAATGTAATTTCCACGCCCTTCTGTACCATGTATAAGTTGTTCTAAATACTTCTGAAATAACGCAGGTGCGCTGGCAATACCAAAAGGTAGACGCTGGTACTGAAAAAGTTTCAGCGGTGTATTGACAACTAACACATTTTTTGCTTCATCATCCAACTCCATTTGAAGATATGCGTCTTTCAAATCAATCTTAGAAAAAAATTTCCCATATCGAACCATATGAAATAGTAGTTTTGAAATCACCACAACTACGAAGAGACTTATCTGGTTTTGTAACCAATACAATTGGCGGAGCCCACTGACTAAATTTTATCGGTTTCCAAATGCCCCTATCCGTTAATCTTTGTGCTTCTGTTTTAAATTTTTCTAATTGTGCGAATGGAATCGGCCTACTTTTACAAAACTTAGGTAGAGCGCCCTGTTTTAAATGCAACCTGGCCTTAACGTGCTTAATTGTACCTAAAGCAGGTTCAAAAAGAATTCTATGTTTCTCCAATACTTCATTCAATTGAGAATCATTGTTTATAACGGGAATTTGACGAATCTCAAATCCAAAAAGTTCAAATAGATTAGTGCCAAACAAATTATGACCATTCCGGACGCATACTACTACTAATGTTGCTGTTCTTTTCGTTTCTCCACACTTTAGCACTGCACAAAATTCACCAAGTGTCTTTACTTTGTTTTTTCCATAATCAAATAGCTCCTTTTTACATGGATACAGCTGTGGTTTATTTAAGTGCTCATAAGTGTCTTGCGTCAACACTGAAACAGTTGCTCCAGAATCCATTTGAAATTTAACTTGCGTATTATCAACTAGAATGTTTATAAACACTTTTTTTTTCTCGTTGTGCGGCAGATTTTCCACATTCAAAATTGAATTAATTTGTGATATTAAGTTTTGCTCCGAATTTGTTGTTTCTTGTTGATCTATTTGATTGATTTTGCGTTTCCACATTTCCTACACAAAACTTTCCTGAACTTGCAATTCTGCCGCGTATGTAAAATTCCACAACTTGAACAATATTTTAACGAGCAACTCTTCTCTTGCATTGCTTGCTTTGCGTTATCTTTCCTGTTCTTGTTTTTTGAATAATTTCCCTTTGATTTTGTTAATTGTCTTTTCAGTTGACTCGAACGCCTCAGCAATTAACATAACTTCAGAGAGTGTGGGATTTGTTTTTTGTAGTGCATTTATTCGAACAACATCATGTGGTGTGTTCACTATAACATTGTCCCGAATCATTTCCTCAGTGTAATCATGATTACAGTCTGATGCGCTGCAAACAATTTTACACTCCCTCGCAACTCTGCGTAAATCTGTGATCCACTCTCTGTAAGTTTGAACGGAATGCATTGTGGCTTTATGAAATTCATGTCTGGCAGCCACAACATGCGTTTTTGCCAGAAAATAATCTGTTAAACCTTTTGTTAACTCATCATATGTTTTAGTTTCTATTCCCTTTGAACTAAGATTACTGCGCAAAATGTCATAAGTTTCTGTGCCTATCCAGGTCAGAAAAAATGATTTATATTTATCTTTGTCCACAGAGTATGCTGAAAAGTGTTGATGAAGCTGCTCCAAATAAGTTTCCCAACTATGCAATTGCTTTTTGTATGCATGAAATGCAGGTTTGACTGCATTAGTTTGACCATCTGACACGCGTCCAACCAACATTTCCTTGAAAAATGCTCGCTGATCTTCCCACATTTTCTTATTAATTTCTTGTTGCTCCTTGAGCAATTCCTTAACGGCTGCTACGTCCATTGTGACATATGTTACTTACAAATTTATTCTCGTCGCCACTGTTTTGTTTCTTCCTATTTGTAGGCAAGAAGTAAAAGTCGTGTGTTCTTCAGAACTAAACAACAATAAATCTTTATTCTTAGAATTTAACTAACTTATAAAATCATGGCCAACTACTTAAAATTAATTATATTAACTGTTTTTAAAATAGTTATAACAGATATTTTCTTCCTCAGTAAGTTCTTCTATAGCCTCTTCTTCGAAAGCATTATCAACATTATCTAGGTTTCCACTCCGGTTACTACGTCTGTATCAATTTCGCAGTTACCTGATGAAGATAAGGGATGAATTTGAGCGAACATCAAATGTGCCAAATTGTGATTAATTTCAGGAACTGCAGGATTTCCATTATTTCCACCCTTTTGTCTAACTAATTGGAAAAAGTTTTCTATTCGATACTGATTTTGGGTTTTAGTTCTTTTTGCAAAACTTCATCGGACAAGGTTATTATCATACCATCAATAAAATGAACTTTTATGTGGAAAAGAGGTGTTTTTGAAATACTCTACGAATGCCTTCCAATAATTATAAGGTGTATTACCAATCTGTGTACCTGATGGATAAGAATTATCCCCATAAATTTGTCCATTTTAAAAAATTTAAAATTTTGTGGATATAGCAACTTCGCTTGAAACTTTTTTGAATCCTGCGCTTTCAGCAAAAGCTCTTATTGCAGCTTGCATAGTATGACTAAAAACCTGTGTTGCAGTTTTGACCTTCGTCTTTTTAAACAAGGACGGATATACATGCTGCCTTGTAAGCTTCGGACACATTTTTGTCATATTATGGTTGTATATCTACATATTAACAAACAAAATAATTATTTGTTAATGATAATATGATGATATACGTTACTGGCACATGCCAAAAGCAAAGACATTGATGTGAAAAAGCGCAAAAGAAAAGTAATTTGATTCTTTTGTTTTGCGCAAATGTAATTCGTAAAGTGCATTAACTTGCATTGGAATTTCATTATTTAGTATTTCGGGTAATTATTAAATAATAATAATAATTCATATTTTTAAATTAATTGAAATGCATATTAAGCATTTTTATATGAAAATTACTAGGCGAACATAATATTCAGGTAGGTTAGTGTTTAAGTTAGAATAAGTATAAATACTGTACAAATTTAATAAAGAAATTCAGATTCAAACAGAACATTGAGTCTCGCTGATTATTTTATTCAAGTTGCCTAGCTGCCACTTAGTTTTATTCGCCTCGTTGCGGAGAAGAACGGCGCCTCGGTGCGCTAGGAAAAACCATAGATAACCATATCTTATCCAAACTCATTACATGGTTTTCTTTGCCATACATTTCACATATTACTTAAAACTAACAGTTCCATCTGGCGTTTGCAAATCGTTTTTCATTACCCTATTTCTTAAAGATGTCATCAAATGAGGGAAATCAAACATAAAATAGATTTTTCTATTATTGTGAACTATAAAAGGTTTGTCTCTAGTAATCTCTAGTAAGGAAAAACATTTCTTGTTCGAAGGCCCTTCGAAGGCCCTTATCACAAATAAGTGCTCTAACTGTCAATCCTAAGCTTGTTAAAATATTAATGTTGTCTAGTACTATATTTGCCAGAGTTTCTCCATTTAATCCATTTTCAGATACATAATAATTAAGAACTAATCTCCAATTAGAGAAAATGCTCTTTATTTCGAAAATACAAACTTCTTCTGCTAATTTGGGTTCTAAAGTATCCATTATTTTCAACGCCATCAATTAGATCTAAAGGTTAATTATATCGCAATTCTCGTTTAGTTGACATTTCGTCAACCAATAAAATAATTGAATCTTTTTTCGTTTGCGTGAGCTTTAAACATTTTTCTTTTAATAAATAAAAGCCATTATTAATAAATTCTGGCTGAAGTGACTTTATAGGCATCCACCTTCTCAATGTAGATTCGCGCGATTACTTAAATTTAAGATGTATACCAATTTAAAAATCGGTATACAGGCCTTGATATATATATACACATAGTAGAAAAAGTCTACGGATATTCACAAAATTTTTCTTAAATTACGCATAACTTTTTTAATTTTTACTCAAATTCATTTTTATTTTCTGATTTATTTTAACCAAAGAAACAACAATAAAGTTCCAGTATTAAAACTAAACAGTTATTTTTTAAAAAAAAATTAAACACAATTATATGCAAAAGTAGCAATTTTTGAAGCAGAAAAAGTCTACGGATATTTCTTAATATTTACATTTACCGTTAATTTAAATTCGCTTGCAAGCATAAAAGTGTCATTAAATGATATTTAATTATTAGTTGACTTTCTAAAGAGTCTAAAAATTAATCATTTAATAACATTTTTTTATATAAGCAATAAATTTTTACAATATAAAAAAAAGGACGTGAAATTAGTTTTAGTGAGCTACAAATAGCTGTTAAATTTTAGAAAGGTGACGTAAGCCAAAGAAAAATTGCTGAAGATATTGGTCGTCAATATTCATCTGTGCGGAGAATTACAAATAACTTCAAAGAGACCAGTACTTACGTTTCTAAACCTCGCACTCGCCGCTCCACAATTCTGTCAAATAGACAAAGACGTAGCATAATCAACCAGGTGAAAGTAAATGCAAGAGTAATAGCCTTCAAACTAGCTGAACATATTGCCGAAATACTTGAAAACAAAATATGTCCTAAAACTGTGCGGAAAATTTTGAAGAAATGCATGTATTATACCCTGATTGCAGGAAAGAAGCCATACATATCCTGATATAATAGAATAAAATGTTTAAGCTTTGCAAGAAAGCATATAAATAAACCTATAAAGTTCTGAAAATGAGTTATTTTCTCCGATGAGAGTTAATTTTACATATTTTGAATCAAAGTTAAAAAATTTGTAAGGAGAAAATTATGCACAGCCTATGATAAACAAAACTCTATTTCAACAGTAAAACGTGGTGGTGAAGGCGTGATGATTTAGTGGTGTATAGCAAGTAATGGTGCTATCAGACTTAAATTTGTACAAGATACAATGAAGATATATGCGTATCTAAATATTCTAAAAACAAATTTAAAAGAAAATGTCAGAATGTTAGGACTTGAGGCAACCTTTTTATTTCAGCGGGGCAATGACTCTAAACATACAACAGTCATCGTACGGATTTGGATGCTGTACTATGTTTTTAGGCAACTTCAAACACGACCAGAATCACCAGACCTTAGTCCTTTCCACATCTGTGGGTTTATTTGGAAAATAAGATTCGCCAGCATATGTTTTCCAGCAAGGATATAGTAAGAAACGTCATCAAGGAAGAATGGCTAGAAATAAACGCACGGGATACTGCAAAGCTAGTTGAGTCCATGCAAAGACGCTTAACAGAGGTTAT